AAATCGTACGATATTAAAAATAAATAAGAAGTTATTAATATTATAACGACAAAAAAATATAAATTTTAAATTTAGAATAGTCATTAAGCAATTATGTAGTCTATAATGATAACATGTGTCGACGGGGGTATAGCTCAGTGGTAGAGCATTCGACTGCAGATCGAGAGGTCCTTGGTTCAAGTCCGAGTGCCCCCTTAAATTTTTTTTTTGTTTTCTCACTTATTTTCTTTTAACGCTTTATATAACTTTAATCACATTTATTTAATATTAATATATTAGTTTTAAGAAATACAAACTCTATAAATTAATTAAAAAGTAATAATATATTCTTATCTATAGTTATATCCTCATCTAGCACGTAAATACAGGCAGTTTCCTAAAGAAGAGTTCCCGAAATGCACCCGTTCACAGATCCAACATAGGCTTACCAGTGGCCAAGCGGTTNGAATAGTCATTAAGCAATTATGTAGTCTATAATGATAACATGTGTCGACGGGGGTATAGCTCAGTGGTAGAGCATTCGACTGCAGATCGAGAGGTCCTTGGTTCAAGTCCGAGTGCCCCCTTAAATTTTTTTTTTGTTTTCTCACTTATTTTCTTTTAACGCTTTATATAACTTTAATCACATTTATTTAATATTAATATATTAGTTTTAAGAAATACAAACTCTATAAATTAATTAAAAAGTAATAATATATTCTTATCTATAGTTATATCCTCACCAATTTTATTACAAAGCCTAACAAAAATATAAAAGTAACTTAAATTAATATAACAATATTATTTAAATGTTAATTAATTAAATTTTTTAATTTGAAGATATTTTTTAAATTCAAAATTGTTTTTATATTATCTTATCATTATATTTACTTTTATCAATTATATGCGCAGAAATTGTATTTATTTTGATACTCGTAATTCTTTTATAATTTTTAATAATACAGGTTATGTTAAAAACTTTTAATTTTTTTGTATTGTAACTTATAAATACAGATTTTATTATTTTCAAACATTAATTTTAATTATTTTAATGAGATGTGAGTTGACATAATGTCTAGACACATGTTAAATACACTTACGGGAAAAATCTTTTGTTGCCAATAGACATTTACCTATCAATGTTTTATTAATGTTTATATAACATCATTAATATAAAATACAATTGTTAATTCGTTTATAGACAACTTTAAATTCTTTCTATTTGCCCTCCAATTTCCGAAATCATTATTATTTTTATGTGTTTAAATAAATTAAGAAAAGAATAAAACTTATTTTAAAAAGAATTAAATTTAAAACAAAAAATGTTATTTTATGAAATAAATGAGAATTTTTGAAAGTAGAAACAAAATCATGTAAAGATAATTAAATTTTGAATTACTATATTGACTGACATTTTATCAATTGAAACAGCCAAAAAACTTTGCTTTTTTATGTTATTGATAGTATTAAATTACTTAAATTATTGATTCATTTTTTAATATAAATTATTTCCTTTCTTTAAATGATTGATTTACTATCGTGACACTTAATAAGCTCCATAAGATATATTTAGAAAGGATAATTCTTTAAGTATTTTTATAAGAGTATTAAATTATAATTGAAACGAAAATTATAACTGAATTACATATGCGTTCTGAAATCAAAATAAAAAATATATAAAAGTTAATTTTTATGGGAAAGATCTACTGTACATGTTATCAGGAGTTTTGCTGCCATCTGTTGTGGTAAATTGGCATTACTTGATTAAAAAATTGTATTATATAATTAAAATCGCATTAAAATACATAAAAATAGATGAAGAATTATTTAAAATATTTATCGATTGTTTATAAAAATTTTAATTAATGGAAATAATTTTTTATATTATAAAAATAATATTAAAATTTAATTTAAAAAAAATAATGTTAAATAATATTGATTGAAAAAAAATTCAGTATTTTGGAATAAGTGAATAATAAATAAATAAAGGAAAAGGTTAAAAAAGTTAAAATAAAAATAGGGGGCACTCGGATTTGAACCGAGGACCTCTCGATCTGCAGTCGAATGCTCTGCCACTGAGCTATACCCCCACCACATCTGAAACTCCTCTACAACTGTATATATCAGTAACACGTGATTCATTTTCTACTCGTACATGTACGTGTTTATGTAATATTAGTTATTTGTGTTATACGCATTTAATGGCCCTCAAGATTTTTACATTTTATGGACTCAGGAAACTTTTAAACGTCGAGAAATGCAAAAAAAAATTCGGGGATAATTTCTGTGTGTGTGTGGGAGGACACGATGTTATCATCCTATTTGAAGCTTAATAACTCCTGTATTTTCTGACGAAATTTTCTGAAATTTTGCAAGGAGGTTGTGTATTAGGGGCATTGATACTATTAAATTTTGGTAGTTGGGGAGATAGAGGAGAGTCGTGTGTGGTATCTCGAGTAGGATCGGACTTAATGACGATTTTACTCATCATTTACACTTTTTTTTTTTTTATAAAACCAATTCCTACTCTCAAAATTAAGCTGTTTGCCATTTTATAATAATTAAAAGTATTAAGTTTTTTAAAATAAAATATGATAACAGGTGGCGCCATACTCAGTTTTAAATGTTTCCGGGAAAGTTAAGCAATTCGCTGCTAGATTTTTAAAAATTTTTTAACATTGTTTCCTTTTCGTATTTTTCAAAATTTAAATATAATAATGTCATATTTTATAATGTTTTAGATTGTTATTATTATTATTATTATTCTTTTAAAAAATTATTAATTATAA